GAGAGAGAGAGAAAGGAATAGAAGAAGAGGGGTAAAAAAGAGCCAAGAAACCCTGCTATCTTAAGAGCATCCTGCAAAAGGGAAAGAAGCTGCCACGCTGGAGGAGTCTCTGCTGTGGGTACTGTTTTATTTCCCTTATGCTTTGGAAAAATCAGTCTCTCTTGAGTCGTTGTGGGATTGTTGGGTTGATGGGGGCTTTTTTTTTTAATCTCTTTTCTCTCTTTGCGTTTGGCAGTGAGCTATAAATATTGCTGGGGAATGATTGCTGTTGGCTGGAGAAAAAGCTGAGCTCCTGTGCCGGAATGAGAGAGAGAGGGAGATAAGGGAGAAACGTGACCTTACCCTGACTATAAATTTCAGCACTTGGACAGCTCCGAGCGTCGCTTGTGCGCATGCCTCTTTCTCCGGCGGGGGGCAGGGGGGCATGCGTGAGAGTGTGTGTAAGGAGAGGGGTGGGGGGCTTGGCCACAGAACTCGCCTCGGGGCTTGATCTCCTCCTTCCAAAGCGAGAGCCTCTTCTCCTGCCCCAGCCCCTCCCTGCTCGTGGGAATGGATCGGCTTGCTACAACAGGGCATCCAGCATCTGGCATCCGATTCCAACAGCTGGCGCAGCTGGCCAGAGAAGGGAGAAGGCTGATGGGCGACGGTGTTAAACTATGGGCATGAGAGAGGCGATGGGGAGCACGCACGAAGTCGGGACGAGAGTGGGGGTGGGGGGTGTCTGAAAGGGTGGGAAATCCTGTGGACCGTTCCCAAAGGAGGAGGGTGCCAGAGCCAGGAAGGGGAGGAAGCCAGCTTCTCCCACGTGTTGCCTAGAGAGAGGGGAAGACGACCCCCCCACACACACACTCCCCCCCACCACTTCTGCAGCCCCACGGAGGCAGCAAGAGAAAGTCTCCCCTGAGGAGAGGAGGCAACACACAGCTCTGATCCCTGTGGAGAAGCAGCAGGAAGAAGTGGTCTCTAGTGCTCAGTGCCTCTCAGGTCACTGGACAGTAAGTGGTCATCCCCTGCTGGGGTGTTTGGCAGATGTGGCACTCACTGCTGGTGACCCTGAGGCAGAAGGGGTACGAAACACCCCCACCCTTTCCTGCAAGACAGAGCCTGGCTGGAGAACAGAGCCTTCACCTAGAACCAGGGGGAAGACAGGGAAATGGTTCCTCTCCTAACCCTAGTAGGGCAGGAGAGGAGACAGAACAGCTGTGTCCCCCATCCTCCCACTCTTCCTTTGTGGTAGTTCTTGGGAGGGGGGGCAAGGTGTATGGCTTAGGGGCAAGGGCGTAAGGGTTATGAGACCCTCCCTTGCCCATTACATTATAAGGATGAGGATACCTCATGTGGAGAAAGAGGAGAGTGCCTCAGACCACTGGAGAGTAAGTGGGAGGAGTGACATCCAGTCTAATCCTTGTGGAGATAGAGGTAGATGAAGTGTTTCCCTCTTCTACAGCCAAACTCCCCCTCTCTGTTTCCATAAGGCAGGAAAGGAGAAAGAGCTGTTATATGGAGCTTTTCATCACACAGCTCAAAGTGCTATACACAAAAGTTGCCTCTTATTCAACCCCCATCCCTTCATTTTGTGCCCAAAAAAAGCGAGGCAGAAGAAGTAACAGTGAAAGATCCAGGAACAGAACATAAATCAGTTGACTCCCAGTCCAGTGTTTATTTGTATTTTTTCACATTTAAAATCTGCACATTTTAAACCAGAGCGAGATCTGGTGTCACTGAGACCTCTGTTCAAGAAAGGGGTTTCACATCAGTTGGTGCCTCTGAGGTATATAAAGAACTAATTCTAGTTACCAACTGAGAGCTTGCCCTACACTTTGAGCTACACTGAAAGCATAAAAGAGACCTACCACTGCCCCACTGAAAAGGCAGCTGGGGGTCCCCCTTGTGTGCAGTAATATCCAAGCAACATAAAACAGCCCACATTCTCTCACTAGAGCAAACAAAAATCCCCATCCCATTTTGGGCAATCTTTGCTGTTATGTTGACTTGCTGGAGGATGTAACAAAGTGGCATGAGTCAGAGCAGCAACTAGAGGATGTTAACAGACCCCAAGATGAGAGAGGCAGAAAGGAAGGATAAGACATCCCTTATTAGATGTGCTGAACAGAGTCCTGGCACATCTAAGGGCAGAGCTCATGTTTTCTTACAGTCCTTTTTTTGGTAAATAATGAATTTCTTGGAATCTGCTCCATTTTAGCAACCTTAAAGTCAATTCATGCAGGAATAAAAGGCATCTCCACCCACTCCAACACTTCTCAAATAAACAAGTTACTTTTCCTACCTGTTTTCTGTCCTGTCCAGCTGTATCCTCCTCCTAATCTATGGAATCAATCCACCTGAACATTATTTTACTCCCCTAAACATATTCCCACAAAACACATGTTTTTTAAACACCACATATAATTATATTTGTCATTCCCTTTGATGTGATAAAACCACTGTTTGTGACACACAGTTTTTCTCATATTTATAGCCATTTTTCAGACTTGAAGAGTTGTTTCTGTGTTCCCCAGTTAGTCAGAGATCTAGGCTGTTCTACATCGTTCATTAAATTAAAAGCAATTGTTTTTATTTAGTTAAGTACCATTTATTGATAAAAGTACAACTTAGTGGCTATGCTCAGAAGTTAACAGCCATTGTTTTTCTGCTCCTTTAAGATAGTACACAGCATCACACAAGAAAAAAAATACACTAACATGTTTCAAAGACCAAAACAAAAACAAAATAAAAAAAGGAATAAAAACATGCAAATATAAGCCTACCATGATTTTCTTGCTCCTTTCTCTACCAAGACAACATGAGCAGCAGTTTGGGAAGCTCAGTAGACAATATGCATGTATTATAATCACTTCCACAAATGTTTAACAACAGATACCAGAAATAAGTCAAATCACCATACTGTGATATCCAATAATGTTGCAGGTAGATAGTTTCTTTGGTTAAGATGCTATTAAGTGGGGATAATTACTATTTCTGGTCCTGTGGTATCTCATTCAGAAAAATGCAGCCAGAGAGAAATGACTTTTGGAAATATCAGAAAACATTGGAGTTCTTCTTCCCTCAAATAAAGGCGTAGGTTTAACCTTTATCCCTGGGTAGCATTGCTGTTACTGCTATATAAATTATTTCAGAAAGTTTGGACTGATGGAAAAAATGTGGAACGGGTAATTTACTAACCAAAGGAAATACCCATTATGTCTCTTTAACCTACACTGCCATCTGCTTAAAAACATGAGGAATCTCAGGAATGTTCATAGACTTCTCACTGCAGAAATCACTGAATACAGTTGGTATCTCTTCGCTGATGGCATTGAAATGTTTTTTGTTATATGACTGTTTCTTTTAGGAACAGAAAATCTATGACTACACATCTGAGTTGTGGCAACTGATACTCTAGGTAGAAAAAAATCAAAATAACTATATAACTTCTGTAAGTGTTTTAACATGTGAAGCCTCACTAGGAAACATTTTTTTTCAAGATTTGCCTTATAACTGGTATTTCTATGCTTCTCTATTGTTTGAAATGTTAGGCCACAGCAGGACTTTGAGAAACCAAAACCCTGCTACATTCCCAAAAGTTTTTCAAATACAAATAGTTTGTGTAAAAATACCATGAGAAGCATAACAACAACAGGCCTAACCCCAAAATTTTACTAAGGTTTGTATTCAGTCCTCAAACACTCAATGCCCACTTATGTCAATAACAGTTTTCCTTTATTAAGGACAGAAGAAACTAAAGGACTGACTGAAAACTGAATAAAGGCTTTAAAATATCAGTCTAAATGTAGTGAAAACAACAACATAATGACAACAATAAAAGCAATAGTATTTTTCACTTTTACAACTGTATTATTTTCTTTGAGAAATTCAACACAAGTTTCTAATCTTAAGGCACTTATACATGAGTGCAGAGGATGCTCCAACACACTGGAATTCCAGTGTGTCAGAGCAGACTCGATTAATCGAGTTTGCTGGAGCATGGCAATTACCCATGTATCAGCGTCTGCATGCAACACTGGTCAGGCTGCAGCTGGAGTACTGCATCCAGTTCTGGGCGCCACACTTCAGGAGGGATGTGGACAGCATTGAGAGGGTCCAAAAGAGGGTCACTCACCTGATCCGGGGACAGCAGGGCAGGCCGTATACAGGACCTGAACCTGTTCAGCCTCCACAAGAGAAGGCTGAGGGGGGACCTAGTGGCCGTCGATAAACTTACTAGGGGGGGGACCAGCGGGGTTTGGGAGAGACCTTGTTCCCCTGAGCACCTCCCGGAGTAACAAGAAAGAACAGCCATAAGTTGTTAGAGAGTAGGTTTATACTAGACATTAGAAGGCACTACTTCACAGTCAGGGTGGCTAGGATCTGGAACCAACTTCCAAGGGAAGTGGTGCTGGCTCCTACCTTGGGGGGTCTTTAAGAGGAAGCTCGACATTTACCTGGTTGGGGTCATTTGAGCCCAGTTTTCTCCAAGGCAGGGAGTTGGACTAGAAGATCTACAAGGTCCCTTCTGACCCTACCTCTATGAATCTATGCTTCAAAATGGTGGTGGAGGCG